CAACAATCTCAAGATATATAAAAAAATTGTCTTCAAAAAATACGTTCTAAAGCATACCTGTTGATATCATAATTCAAATGCAAATTAGAATAGAAATTTTAATGCGAAAGATTTTCTGCGGTATTCATCATACAAATTTATCACCTTACTTGTCCGTATGTCGCTCTGGAAAGAAATATATTTTAATTTACATGTTTTCTTAAAAATAAATGTAAATTTACCTATTTTTTCCACCGGCAGGCACGAATATGGTATTCAAAACAGAAACAATTACAACGAATTTTACACACTTGTATTTTAGCGCAAAACGATAAGTTTCGCAAATTTGTTAAATTACACTGTGGAACAAATTCAGGTTAGCAAAAGTTAGGTCGATTCTGAGAGTGAGGGGTGGAAATAGAGGCTAAATTAGAAGACCCTTAACGCGGCGTTTGTTTATGTTAGTTCGAATTTTTTTTAATCGACCCTCGCACTTTGCAGTCAAATGCCGAAAATTTTTGTAGTGCTTATGAAGCAAAATGTTGGAATTTTTTTTTCATGCTTTTTGAACATATTTTCCACAAAACTAAGTCTTTTTTGCTTTCTGTTTGATCTATAATATGCTTCTCAGTTTCTTCAATAAATTTCATTTGAAAAGAANATTTTTAGGGGCATAGTTTACTTCAGTGATAAACTCTTGCGAGAAATATTGTTTATAGGCTTCCAAAAAACAATCACTGGCATTGCCACATTTTTCATCGCTTGCTATGAAACGTCCACAAACATTAAAAAATGGTCCATTTTACATTTTGGTTCCGACATTTTTAATACAATATATATTATACAATGTTGTTTTAGTTATTTTTATGAAACCGATGCACTTAACTTAAATCACTCACAAAATGAAATAAGTTCCAAAAAAATTAATAGCGAATTTTATCACGACCGAGCGAAAATTAAAAGACATCAGCTTCGGCTGAGTTTCGAGTCTTAACTGAATCTTTATTTTTGATATTAGTTCCCTGGTACGAAATAAATAAAAATCGCAACCTGTGCGGTGGTTGGAAACAAAAAAGAGGAAGACGAGGAAAAAGAGGAAGAAGGGGAAGAAATTTATTGCATTTGACTGCAAAGTTCGAAGGTCGATTAAAAAAAAATTCGAACTAACATAAACAAACGCCGCGATACGGGTCTTCTAATTTAGCCTCTATTTTCACCCCTCACTCTCAGAATCGACCTAACTTTTGCTAACCTGAATTTGTTCCACAGTGTTATTCGTTATTATTGGAAATGCAAGACTTGGCATGGATTTTTAATTTCTTATTTAATCAATTCAAATGAATAAAAACACATTTTTCTAAAATATTTCTCAATTTACATTTTAAAGTTTTTTCTGAATCTTGAATGTAACTCTGTGCAGAGAATGAGAGAATTGAAAATCAGGTGATCCCAGCTGTTTTCAAATGTAAGCAAACAAAATGGCGTTTTCCGTACTTGTAAGCCTATACAATTCCTTATACCCTGCCAGCCAAAAGTGGTGAAAAATCTGGTGAAACCGCGGGTTTCGGTCACTTCAAAACTGGTGACATTTGTATGGGCGGTGTGCAGATTGTCACCACTTTCCCCCTGTACGTGTGAGCCTTGCATCACTGTCGCACTCATTCAGATACTTCGTAAGGAAAACATATAGCTGCACTCGTCTAGCATTGCCCACTTCAGCTGGCGCAGGGTTGCATTCTCTTCAGCGAAATCAAAATAACCTTAAAAACTTTAAATAAAAAATCTTAAAATTTTTTTTTGATTTTTATTTTGCAAAATTTATTTTTCAAAATACGTTGTTAACCTAATATAAATAGTTAGTAATCAATATTATGAATAAAAATTACAATTAACATTAATAATAAAGATATTTTTACATACATATGTGGTTGCTTAATTGCTTATTATTACTACTACTCCTTTGCATATAGCTGTTTTCAAAAGCTGCAAAATTTCAATAAAATGTTAAGCGATTTTAACAGTATTATAATCAAAAGAAAGATAATCGATTTACCTTTCTTTTAATATATATTGACAGTTGAAAATCATTTGTATTGGTTCACAAAAATTCAGTTTCTTTACAACTTTGCAAAATTTTACCACTTTTTCACTGCTTATATATAGCTGTTTACAAAAGTTGCAAAGTTTTTATGAAAACGTAAAGCGATTTTAACGGTGTTATAATCAAAAGAAAGGTAATCGGTTTATTATTTATTAAGAGTTGCAAATCATTTATGGTGGTTAAGAAAAATTAAGTTTTCTTACAACTTTGAAAAATTTGACAAGTTGGACCTACACTTTGAAGGTGCTCCTGGCGTTGAAGGTGCTGAGGGCGGAAGGTACCCATGGTGCTCCTGGCGATGAAGGAGCTGAGGATAGAAGGTACTGGTGGTGCTCCTGGCGATGAAGAAGTTGAGGGCAGAAGGTTTTAGCGATGAAGATGCAAGCGTTGAAGGTGCTGATGGTGAATCCAAAATCTGCAAACAAACAAAAATATCAATTCAAATTTATAAACATTTAAAAAGTCTCAATACATACCTTCAGAATGTGACTAAGTCGCTGCTGTTTTGCAATCTAAAATAAGAAATTACATTATAATTAAATAAAATTGTTAAATACTTATCCTTTCCTTCAAAATTTTCGCAAAGTGACATTTCTTCACAGTATGTATACTGTCATCAAAACTCCGATGTTTCTAACTTGCTCGCTCTAACGCATAGAATTCTTATTAGAGTACGAATTCTTATCGGGTATGTAGCTCTAACAAAGGGACATTTTTTTGACAGTTCGAACAAAAAATTTGTAAGTGTGTGGGTGAGATGACTAAAAAGTTGTGAATGTGTTTGTAAATCGTTTGATTTTCAGGGGAAAGTGGTGAGCCGTGGCTGGCAGGGTATTCAAATTTTAAAGGCAATTTTTCCAATAAGGCAGTGTCAAAATCGTTTTCTCGCTCTAATTAATTCACCTGGTATAATTCCGCCATGCTATTCCGGTACTCTTATTTGACAATTTATTATCAGAAATTTTTTTTTGATTTGACTTTCACGTTAACCATTTTGAGTGAGAACTTATGTATTTTTTTGATTTGAATAAAAAATTAAAGAAAAAATGCCAAGAAATTCTTGCCGTTTGTGCAAAAGCACACATAGCGTTGTAGTATTGATGTTTTCAGTCCGGAAGGTTGAGGATCTAAGGCGAAATTGGACAGAGGTATGCAACAAAACCAAGGGTTAACACCAGATTTGAAAAAAGCGAACACCGAAATGAAAGAAAAAATAATAACAAAATCAAATTTTACTTTCAAATATAAAGACGTCAGTTACCTGGAACACTATATTATTTCACTATGGGTCGTCAAGGTTCATAGAATACAAGGTTACGAAATCAGCCATGGCCGCCATCTTGATGACGTAGATGGCTCAATTTTTGGAGTTGCCAGATTCCTAAAAAATTATCTTATAAAAATACACTATTTTAGTCAAAAATACATCAAGTTTTATTTCAAATATGTGTAACCCTGATATTTACCGTTTGACAATTTGCGTTGAAGTTTGTGCTTTTTTCTGCGTCTTTGAGTTTATTTAAATTATTAAAAATTTAAGTGCGCTGTTTTTGATTGCAAAAATTACACTGAAAAGGTAATGCAGCGTTTTTGCTGCATTTAAAATGCAACATTTAGCACTTTCGAACATATGTTTTCGAAGAGCGTTCATGCTATCGCATTTAGCAAATATACATTTACGCGAGTTCGAAATCGTACGCTTTTGACAAACAGCCGTGTTCCAGTAGCTTTTTCAGATCCACATCTATTACGATCAATTCACACGCAGAAAATAATGTGCAAAAACCCTACTGAAAAGGAAAAAATAAATTTTAAACCAAAAATTCAACACAAAAACTTTAATTGTTTTAACCATAACCGAACATTTGTTTGTGTATATATTCATTTGTCGGTGCTTTCAATAAAAATTTCCTCATTTAATTAGGAAACAAAACAAACAGAGGTGATCACAAATTAATCCAGATTTCTATCAGCACCACATCGATGTTGAATTTGCTTAACTTTTCTTTATCCAAATAATGTAAAACAATAAATGAAATCTCGATCGGCGATCACTGAAACGCAGCTAGCCACTATATACTCGAAAAAGCAATGTTGCCACTTTTTCTCATTAAACCATGTTCGAATCGTGGAAATTTTTGAAGATCCCAGGGTTGCTTTTAGCATTTAGATTCTTAATGCAAAACTGGAGTTGCATTTAGTTGTATTTAGGTGACGAATTTTGTATGGATAAATGTACATTTAGAGTAGCATTTAGAGCTAAAGATGAATTGCAATTTCGGTAGCGAAATTTTGCCATGTTATGAACGCTTTTTATTTAAAAATGCGCGAGTGCGTTCTGCTCACTTTCAAGAATAAAATCACCAGCAAATTTCAATTTGTATTCGACTTACATTTCTGTTGTCACTATTATTATGTTAATCCTGTTTCACGTCAAGTTATAACATTTTATGTTGTTATAATAAGCTTTGCCACGATTTTATATCAAAAATGCCTATTTGATTAGGATTCCTCAAATATGCTATACGGCAGCTATATTTTCTGCGTTTTGTGTACTCTCCTTCTTCGTAAAATATTTAAGCCAATCAGAACTCACTTCGCAACTGCGTCATTGGAGGAAAACAAATTTTCGACAGCACCATGTCGTAACCTTCTATCTATGAACCTTGATGGGTCGTTGCTAAATGTAAATATTAGTTGGCTTGGTAGTGCCGCTCCAACACCAACACAACATACTCAAGCCAAATATTTACAATTTAAAAGTCTGAATGCAGAGATTTATTTTAGTTTGAGGCAGGGCGTGTAACTACCGTTATGCACATTAAATAAATATTTGTTTTCTTATCATAACGAACGTTCACATGGAAGGCCATATTTATTTACCAAAGGTTTTTATTTTTGTTGTGTTCTCCTTTTTCAGCACCGTTGATGTTGTTATATTTTCCGGAGGCATGCCACGATCAGCGTATGGAGACCACAACTGTGTATCGGTACATACAAACAACGGGAATAATGTTTGCTTGGACTTCACATCAAAAGTAATCGATTTCTTTGTTACGTTCCAAGATAATACCGACAATGTACAAGTCCTGGTCGTATTACTCGAGGAAGAGTTCTGTGCTTACGATTTGGCCGATTCCAAAGTTCCTGCTATTAAAACACCATATCTACATTCGGTTCACGCATCTGCGGTTACTTGCAATTACCTTGCATCCCTAGTAAACCAGGATGTTTATAACAAAATATTGCATGCAGGAGAAGAGCAAAATACTGAGTGCAGCAAGATACAATGGCCGATAAATGGCGGTATTTTAGAGGAAGAAGTTCCTGACGTGGTTGACAATGATGATGTACGACTATACGAAATATTATTGACTGGTCATGAGGACGGTTCGGTGAAGTTTTGGGATTGTACAGGGGTAGTTTTGAAACCTCTTTATAATTTCCAAACTGCCCCTTTGTTTGGGTATGAATAAACGAAATTTTAGTTATTAAAACTTACCTATCTATATTTGAACAGGAATGAGAACCAAGACGACATACCGGCGGAAACGTCAGAACCTTTAGATGACTCAGAACCACCATTTCAGAAAGCCGGCCTATTCGATCCGTACTCAGACGATCCCCGCTTAGCGGTGAAGAAAATTGCTTTGTGTCCAAAAACTGGGCGAATAATCGTTGGAGGCACAGCCGGGCAAATTGTCATTGCTAGTTTTGTTAAAAGGGAATCTGAAAATACTCCGTTTAAAGTTAGTTCAATGAACTTGGTGAGTGATCGTGATGGTTTCGTTTGGAAGGGCCACGATCAGTTGACGGTACGTCCAAATTTGCTTGAACCGGATGCGGAACTTGTTGGTTATTCCGGTGTTGAAATAACAGGCATTTTGCAAGTTCTTCCACCGGCAAGTATAACGTGCTTGGCCCTGGAAGCGAATTGGGGACTCGTAGCTGGGGGAACTGCCCATGGTCTCGTTTTATTTGACTACAACACTTTTTTGCCTGTTTTCCATCGCTGCACTCTGAATCCAAACGGTAAATAAAAAAAAATCGAAGCTATACAAACTAATAAAAGCATTGAATTAACTTAACAGATTTAACAGGCGCTGGGGAAACGTTGTCTCGTCGTAAGTCATTCAAGAAATCTTTACGTGAATCATTTCGAAAACTTCGAAAGGGTCGCTCCTTGCGAAACAATCCATCACAAGTTCCAACAACAGTAAGTACAATTTTAAAAGTTATTGTCATTTTCATTGTGCTAGAGAGCAACTAGGATGTTTTCGATCAAAGCGTTTATTAACAGTGCGGCACCGCGCAGTGGGAAATAAGCGACTAATTTTGTTCAAAAAAGGCTGGAGGAGTAAATTTTTAACCCAGTTGAATAACTATTTTTTTTTAAATACTTGGAACGGGTTTTAGAATAGATTGTCTAGGCCCGACTTAAAAAAATGTTTTGATTTTTATCAGTATATCAAGCCCTACCCGTCAAAAAGGCGTAAGCGACTTTTTTGCAAAATTTTCTTTTTAATGCAAAAGTTTTCGTAGAGCATCTAGAAGCATTTCTGCATTAAAAATACAATTTTGAAAAAAGTCGCTTATCTACGTCTTTTTGGCGGTTAGGACTCGATATGGTGAGAGTCGGGAAAATTAAAATAAAAAGCGACCATCAAACAAAAATTAATATATTTCATGGTGGCAAATTTAAGATTTTGAAGGTGGTAAGAACATTTTTAAGGTCTTTGAATCGATTCTGATGATAAATCGTAAAAATAAAAATGACCGATCCAATCAGGCGGATGCTATCCAAAACTCGTGTTCTTTTGCGTTTTTGTGGATAAAGTGTGCTATATTGAATCGACTATTTTGAATTTCGTAATTCTATCGTCAGAACCGAGTTCAAAGAACTCAGAAAACGTTTTTACCACATTTAAAATCTGAAATTCGTCACCTAGAAAAATATTATTTCTAGTTTGAAGGTTTCTTTAATTTTTTGCATTCACCATTTGCTGATAAAAATCAAAACTCTTTTTGTTAATTCGGTCCAGGACAATCTTTTCTAAAATCTGTTCCAGGTATTTAAAAAAAATATTCTAGGGTGCTGTTCTTTGACTTTATTTATTTTTCTGAAAATCATGTTTTGTCCTTTATTTCCTCTTGTTGTTGTTGTTGTTGTAGCGTCTACAACAACCCCGTCCAGGTCGGTTGGTATCTCAGTCGTTGTAGTCAAGTTCCACTAACGGCAGCCCTAGGAAGCGTGCAGCTTCTGGGGGGTTAGTCCACAGGGACAAGGCCGTTAGGATTGTCGGGTTTTCCGGGCATGCGAAGAGATGTTTCGAGTCATGTGGGGTCTCTCCGCATGCCGGACACTCATTTGTCACATCCTCATTCAATCTACTCAGGTAGGAGTTTAACCTGCTGCAGTAGCCGGAGCGAAGTTGTGCTAGAGTTGTTCGCGTCTCCCGGGGTGGCAGGTGAAGCTCCGTCTCGTCTGTGTCCGGGGGCGGTATGCCTAGAACGGCATTCACAGGTCTAGAGTCTACATAACTCGAGACTGACTCCCTGTGAATGCCGTTCAGGGCCAGTCGGTAACCTGTCTGGTCCAGAGGTTGCTTGATGAAGCTCCAGACTTCGTCCTTCAGTTCATATAGATGCCTCCTGACGTGCCTAGGCGAGGGCTCCTCTGCAAGCAGCTGTTTGTTCGGGTGGCCACTTCTGTGGCTCCCGACCAGGAACTGCTTGCAGAGCATGATGTTCTGCTCCTTTACGGGGAGCATTTGCGCCTCGCCGTGAAGATGGTGTTCGGGCGACATCAGGAGGCATCCTGTCGCTGTCCTGAGTGCGGTGTTCTGTGCAGTCTGTAGCTTCGTCCACTGCGTCCTACTAGCCCCCGGCGACCACACTGGCGCTGCGTAGTTCAAAACCGGCCGGCCTATTGCCTTGTATGTTGCCAGCAACGTTTCTTTGTCTTTGCCCCAAGTACTGCCGGCTAGCGACTTGAGGACCTTGTTGCGGCTCTG